TAATTGTATGCCTTTTCTTTCTGCTTTTCCTATTTGAACATCACATTTTTAAAGAAGCCAATAAAGTCTGTACTGTTCAAGTAAAACTTTATGGCTTGTACTTTTCTGACATTCTCAAACTCTTCTTCTTCTTCTTTTCTCTTTCGTTGCTTAATTAGTTTGACTGGAATGTCCCCGCTGTACGGCATATCCTGGAGACCCCAGAAAGCTAAAAATATGTGTGGTTATTTATTAACATGCAATTGGGAGAGAGATTGTGATGATGCAAAGCCAGTGAGTTTAAAAGAAACAGCCTGTAGCCTTGCAGAAAGAGATTGTGCTAACTCCAGTAACTGTCCCACCTCATGAAGGCATTTGTTGGCTGTCATGTAGTGCCTGTGTGGCATGTAGTTGGACTAGATTCTTGATGAGAGGTCCTCACCCTCTTTTCCTGAGAGCTTACAATTCTCCCCTGCTGTCTTGAGAAGATTCTTCAACACCCAACAAGGATTCTACTGAGTTTTAGCAACAGGCAAATTACGATGAATCGTGGAACTCAAGTCATATTTTTTTAAAAAAACAAGTGTTATTAATTTTCCAATTTTACAAATCTCCAAGTGTTAAGGAAGCAACATGGTGATTGGGTAGTCCATGATCAAATAACAAGCTATTCCATGCATATGTCAGGTTACATCATCAGAAATTTCCTCTGAATTTCCCTTAGTTATTGTATCACATTCAAATTAATATGTTGCTAGTTATAACTCAGTTAAGACATTTATCAATATATTTTGTCTTGTACGCCTTCATATCCTGTTTCGAATTTTACCTAGTTTCAGTTACAGTATTCCAGTTAACTGAATAGCCATAGTCTTTAGATTTCGGGTAACCCAAAGTGCCCTTAGTTCATTACAAAATAATTGTCATATCTAAAGTACATTTATTGTTTACTCAGATAGCTTCTTACTTTATTTCACGAATATATTCTATTTCTCATCCTAATACCTCATCTCTTACTAATAAGATAGCCTCTATCATCTCAATCCAAGTTCTCTATGCCAGGATGTGTGTGCGTGTGTGTGTGCACGTCAAAATGTACATGTTAGAAGAGTGCAATGTCAGGAGTGAGGCCCCTTTCATTTTAGATAGGCAGCGATTCCCTTTTTAGAACCCTGTAGTCCCTATTCGGAGTAGTCAGGGTGACTGGATGGAGCTGAGCATTTACAGGCCAGATGCCCTTCCTGACACCTACGCGGAGTTCACAGCAGAATTTTTTTTTCTTTGCGCCTAGAAGAGAGAAACATCTGCTGCTACTTAGGATTGAACTCTCAACCTTTTGAGTGAGAGGTGAGTGTCTTCACCACTAGGCCACCAGGATATGCAGCAACATCACACACCTACCTGAAAAGGCGGAGCTTCAACTGTGATGCCACATCTACCACCTTATAGACTCCCAGATGTTCAGCTTCGCTAAAAGTTCAAAGCTTTTCTGGTGGTTACCCATCCAAGTAACCAGATCTAACCCTACATAACTTTTGTTAACCATCCCAGTTCTGGTAGTGTCCAATCAGATACTAATCCAGCTTGATCCTGCTTAGCTTCCAGCAAGATAAAATCGGCGGACATCTTCTCTCTACTAAATCTCTCGGGATTTTTGACGATACTACATTATAATGTTGCTCCTTGACATTTATTTATGAATAAATTGATCCTAATGCACATAACACCGAGCCACCTTTAAAGCTCTACCAAAACTACTCTAAGTTGTCTATTCTGCATTGACACCAGAAGTGTTTTGCACAGCATAAGCACCTCAAGGGACAACATTACGCCTGCAGAATGAGCTGTTAAGAGATCATGGTTGATGTGTCCCTCGCCTTCCCAGGCTGCCTGCACTGAGCTTTCTGGAGAACCTTGGTATGAATGAAATCTACCCCCAAAGATGGCTTCCTCAACTGGCCATGCTATTCAGGGGTCACGGCTGTCTTTAAGGAATAGCAGGGTGTAAGATGTCAGTCCTGGTTCATTGCCCAAAGCACATCTACTCGGAAATGAGTATCAGCCATTTGGGAAACAGGAGGAGGCCATCTTCTGGGTGTGCAAAACGTGGCCTCATCAATCTTCAGCATCTCTAAATAGGATGAAGGAAAGCCCCCTTGTGCTGAAACCTTGGAGAGATGTTTGGTGACAAAACCAGGACTTTGATGGATCTGTAGCCTCGCTCGCTTAGTCTGCCTCCTTAAAAGAACCCGGGTTGATTTGCAGAAACCCTACATGTGATTCAAAATGTTACACACAAGGCAGGAGCTGAAGTTTATCTAAAGATCCCTGGATCTGCCCATGAAGGATGAGAAAAACTTTTTTTTTAACCCTCTGAGTACCTATCATTACCCAAACTAGGTAACACCATCTTGGTTTGGGTAATGAAACATCTGCAAGAAAACAACAATGCTTAGTGAGCGCCAAGGATCTCTGGGGACCCTCTGCCAGTCTTTCCTCCTGCTGACCCATTGCCTACTTTCACCAGGACTTGCTAAACCAAAGCAGGTTCATTTAAATCTAATCAAGGGAGATGACCAAGTGCCTCTTAATTCAACTCCAGTCTTCTGCTGTCCCTGGAATTCAATTATGCCCGGAGGTGCACAAACTAGCCAAGCTCTTGTCAGCTTTTCCTGGCTTTGTTCCCAGCTTCCCTCACCTGGGCTGTCTTCCAGAATAACAGGAGAGTGAAGTGAATGTCAAGCCAAGGTATCAAAACATACCTGGCAAAAAATCCAAAGCACCTCTGAAAGATTGAGAGGAGGGCTGAATGACCGGGGAAAAAAAAGGCTTCTTCATCTTCTCTCTGAGGAAAGAGCAAAAGGGAGGGCAGAGAAGCCGACGGTCCTCAGTGGTCAGAGATGTACTTTCTACATGATATTTTCACAGATGATTCTCCAATCTCGACTTTCCACAAACAACACCAGGGTGAGACATTTTGTCTTCTGGGACAGAAGTATTGTTAGTTGCAAAGTCGTGTCCGACCCATCGCGACCCCATGGACGACGTTCCTCCAGGCCTTCCTGTCCTCTACCATCTTCTGGAGTCCATTTAAGCTCATGCCTACTGCTTCAGTGACTCCATCCAGCCACCTCATTCTCTGTCGTCCCCTTCTTCTATTGCCTCAATCTTTCCCAGCATTAGGCCCTTCTCCAGTGAGTTCTTCCTTCTCATTAGGTGGCCAAAGTACTTGAGTTTCAACTTCAGGATCTGGCCTTCTAAAGAGCAGTCAGGGTTGATCTCCTCCAGGCCTTCCTGTCCTCTACCATCTTCTGGAGTCCATTTAAGCTCACACATACTGCTTCAGTGACTCCATCCAGCCACCTCCTTCTCTGTCGTCCCCTTCTTCTATTGCCCTCAATCTTTCCCAGCATTAGGCCCTTCTCCAGTGAGTCCTTCCTTCTCATTAGGTCCCAAAGTACTTGAGTTTCAACTTCAGGATCTGGCCTTCTAAAGAGCAGTCAGGGTTGATCTCCTCCAGGCCTTCCTATCCTCTACCATCTTCTGGAGTCCATTTAAGCTCACGCATACTGCTTCAGTGACTCCATCCAGCCACCTCATTCTCTGTCGTCCCCTTCTTCTCTTGCCCTCAATCTTTCCCAGCATCAGGCTCTTCTCCAGTGAGTCCTTCCTTCTCATTAGGTGGCCAAAGTACTTGAGTTTCAACTTCAGGATCTGGCCTTCCAAAGAGCAGTCGGGGTTGATCTCCTCTAGGACTGACTGGTTTGATTGCCTTGCAGTCCAGGGGACTCGCAGGAGTCTTCTCCGGCACCAGAGTTCAAAGGCCTCCATTCTTTGGCGCTCAGCCTTTCTAATGCAAGTAGATAAATAGGTACCACTTCGGTGGGAAGGTAACAGCATTCTGTGCCCCTCAGAGTAGAGTCAAGCCGGCTACATGACTATGGAAGACAACGCTGGCTCCCTCAGCTAGGAAACAGAGATGAATCCCTAAAGTCGGACATGGCTGGACAGGAGAAAAATTTACCTTTACCTTAGCTTTACAAAGCTAAAGCCAAACCCAAGTCAACCCAACCCAACCCAACCCAACCCATTCACCATTCTTCCCCCCAGACCAAATGCCTTTATTGATCCATTTTCAAATAGACGTACATTAAAAGTATAAAATAAAAACAAACCATTTACTGACCGAAGAGAATATTTGTAGCTCAGAGTTAAACTGTGAAGCTCTTGGTGCTCTCTGAGCTTGGCGGTTTTCTTGCCGATGGTTCATTACCCCACTAGGCAACATCAACAACTAAGGAGCAAACCCTACTAGCACTGACGACGTGTCCTAGTTGGGTAATGAAACGTCTGCAAGAAAAACGCCAAGCTCTAAGAGCACCCCGGACACCATAAACCACTTACCATAACCCCCCCCAAAAGAAAAAACCTGAAATAAGAAAATATGTTTTTAAAAAACCCACAGGTAAAAAACGAAAAGATGGGGATTAGTAATTTATCTAATGAAGCATCTCCCAGGAACTGTGTCATCTGGTGACTGGCCCATCCAGAAGCCTCTATCCCTGGCATAGGATGGTGCACCAGGTCTGAACCACAAACCTGCCTAACAGAATTTTGCCCTTCCACTGAGCTGGGCTCTGATCTGTTTTGGATCTGGCTAGGACATAATGCAACCAACGGTTAGATTTTTTTCCCCTGGATTCTGCTGAGAGTTGGGAAGGAGAGGCAGCGCCCAGGACCCTTCCCCATTCATCCCAGCTATAAAAAGCAACCAAGAAGACGGAATGCAGCCCCAGGCTAAGTTGGGGCTGCGCTCGCCTGATCCTCCCCACCTCCTTCCCACCCATCCACCCACTTGCCCGGTCGGGCCAGCCAATGGGCGCCGCGCAAGGGGCGTGCGTAAAGTTGCGCTCAAAAGCGCCCAGCTCGCGGGGCTTCTTCGGCTTTAGCCGTAGCTGGGCGAGCGCGCGCACAGTTGCTCCGGAGGGGATCCGAACCAGCCCGGGGAAAAAAAAAGGAGGATGTTGCGCGTGCGGTGCCTGCGCGGAGGCAGCCGAGGGGCCGAAGCCGTGCATTACATTGGGTCGAGGGTAAGCGCCCTGCAGCCGGAGGCGCGGGGCTGGGAAAGCACCCTGAACTTGGTGGCCGCTTTGTGAATTCGCACAACTCCTTGAACTTGGAGGGGGGGGGAACGGAAGAAGCTCCCCCCCCTAACCGAAGTTGAAGCTAAGCCAGCTGACCGTGTCGTTTGAATTCAGCTGTTGCTGGGCCTTGACCTGACCTGAGTTCAGTGCGTTGTGTGCCAACAGGACAGGTTTAGGATTGAGCCAAGTGGGAGCGGCGCAGCGAGGATGGGAGTCAAGATTATTGAGGCGAGGGGTGGTGGCGCTCCTAGGTAGCAAGCCAAGCCAGCCATTGCTCTGGCCTGGTGCGCCGCGGAAACATCTCCCATGGAAGAAGGGTGCATCTGGGCACGTGCAAAGTGAGGTGAGCGCAGGGAATTGTGTTGGGGTGATTTTTGAGGAGGTCCGGCTGGAAGGCGAGATCTGTGGATTCCCCTGAAGTGAAGCGGGGATTTAAAATAAAATAAAATAATAATAATAATAATAATAATAATAATAATAATAATAATAATAATAATAATAATGATAATAATAGTTGGAAGGCACCTTGGAGGTCATCGAGTCCAACCCCCTGCTCAGGCAGGAAACCCTATACCATTTCGGACAAATGGCTGTCCAGTCTCTTCTTAAAAACTTCCAGTGTTGGAGCATTCACCGCTTCTGGAGGCAGGTTGTTCCACTGGTTAATTGTTCTCACTGTCAGGAAGTTTCTCCTTAGTTCTAGGTTGCTTCTCTCCTTGATCAGTTTCCACCCGTTGCTTCTCGTCCTGCCTTCAGGCGCCTTGGAAAATAGCTTGACTCCCTCTTCTTTGTGGCAGCTAACGAAAAACCTCAGAGCAAATTTTCAAAGCTTGCCTTTCAGCGGTTTCTTTGCACTGAAGGTCAATTTTGATCCAAAGTTTGGAAAACTGGAAGGAAAAGTTCGGAGAGGAATTTTATTTTCGTTTGTAAAAAAATCTGACACTTTTTTTGGCGACCGGATTTAAATGTCCTTGAAATTCCTGTCTTCCCCCTTCTCTCCCAAGAGCTTCAACTCCAATCTTGTTTGTGCCTTTGATCCCATTTGGTTAATTTTAAATCCTTAATTCCACTCCTACAGGGGAAAAAGTTGTGAGCATTAACTATAACCAAGGCCCCACTTGAACTAGTCACTGTTCGCTTGCATCGAATCTGATCTGTTCTCTGGGCTCTCTGGCCTAACGGCTGTAATAAAAGTTTTGATTTCGGACTTCTTCCTTGGGAAAAAAAAGGTCCTGCAAGGCAATCCAGCTCACCTTCCCACCCCCCAACCCTGAACCTTGAAGTCCAGAGTCTAAATTTACATATGTCATTTAGCTGCCTATCTCTGGGAGTGTTTCTGTGCCAAAGTTTAATCTCAAGATGGAGAGGTCAACAGAGCCATTCTTTATATCAGTGTTTCTCAACCGTGACAATTTTAAGGCATGTGGAGTTCAACTCCCAGAATTCCACAGCCAGCATTGCTGGCTGTGGAATTCTGGGAGTTGAAGTCCACATGCCTTAAAATCGTCAAGGTTGAGAAACACTGCTTTATATGCTCTGCGAACAAACAGATAGCCAGTTTGGTGTAGTGCAGTGATGGCGAACCTTTTAGAGACCGAGTGCCCAAAATGCAACCGAAAACCCACTTATTTATCGCCGGGTGCCAGGTGGGCGTGGCCCATTGGGTGGGCGTGGCTGTGGTGCTCATGGCAGACTGGGTGGGTGTGGCCATGGTGCGCGTGATCACCTTGATGTTGCTTGTGGGGAGGGATGCCTGTGGGGGCAGGGTTGGGGGAGATCCAGGGGGTGTCTGGCAGGTGGGGCGGTGGGCAGGAGGCTCGTCCTGCGGGGTGAGGCGAGGCAAGGTGGGGGTGTCATTGTCACAGGGCAAGGTGAGACGGGCTGGGGCGGCTGCTGCCTGACACCATAGGCCCCTACACACAGAGGCCAGCGAGCGCATGGGTGCTGGGATGCATCTGGCCATGTGGGACCTCAGCGAGTTAGCAGGTGGCTGGTTGAAGAGGGACAGTTGCCATCTCCGGGGCATGGCGCGTGTGCCCACAGAGAGGGCTCTGAGTGCCGCCTCTGGCAAGCGTGCCATAGGTTCGCCACCACTGGTGTAGTGGCTAAGGTAGCAGGCTTAAGGTAGCAGGCTAGGAACTGGGCGACTGGAAGTTCTAGTTCCATTTTAGGCCCGAAGTCAGCTGGGTGACCTTGGGCCATTCCCTCCCTCTCAGCCTTGCCTGGGAAGGAGACGATGGCCAAACCACTTCTGAAAAATTGCCAAGAAAACCTATCCAGGCAGTGGCCAGGTGTCAACCATGACTCAAACGCACAGTTGTGAACTTAACGCACACACAGAGAAGGAGATGCTGGGCATTTGAAAAGCCCTCTTGCTCGAAATCGCATAAGAATCTGATATTTCAGAGCTGGGGAGGGCAAATCTAGTCCATCGTCATCTCTTCGTTCTGCAAGCTCAGCAGTTATGAGAAAAAAAAGGAACAAGGAAACCTCTGCTTTGTGAAGAGTCCATAAAAGTTGTTCAGTGAAGGAAAAATCAAGTTTTTTGCCCAGGTAGGAAGATAGCAGCAGAAAGAAAGAAAAAAATGGCACCTCTTGTAGTAGTAGTAGTAGTAGTAGTAGTAGTAGTAGTAGTAGTAGTAGTAGTAGTAGTAGTAATAATAATGATGATGATGATGATGATGATAATATAATGATAGTAATAATAATAAAGTTGGAAGGGACCTTGGAGGTCATCTAGTCCAACCCCCTGCTCAGGCAGGAAACCCTATACCATTTCGGACAAATGGCTGTCCAGTTTCTTCTTAAAAACTTCCAGTGTTGGAGCATTCACCGCTTCTGGAGGCAGGTTGTTCCACTGGTTAATTGTTCTAACTGTCAGGAAGTTTCTCCTTAGTT